GTTCTAGAATCTTCCAGTATAAAAGTCAACATTCAAACAAGTTGGTTGTTTTTCATTCTCGATCCTAGATGGACGATAGTGGGCATCGAGAAAATGGGAGGCATAAACCACCGCAGGGTCAGGTAAACTACTTATAAACTTATTTATCCTTGAAAATCTCAAGTAATGATTAAACTTATTACACGAGGATTTTTTTCACATCAAGATTTCCGTTTCTTGTTTTGTCAGTGGTTGATGCAGCAACAGCCGTCGATGAAACAGATAATGGGCTTCATGGCAGAAAGAGACGCCGCAATCCAAGAAAGAAACCTAGCCATCTCCGAAAAGAAAACCGCCTTAGCGGAGAGGGATATGGCCATTCTGCAACGAGATTCCGCCATAGCCGAACGAAATAACGCCATAATGGAAAGAGATAACGCTATCGCCACACTCCAGTATCGCGAAAACGCCATCAATAGCAGCAACAACAACATGTCCCCGTGTCCACCTGGTTGTCAAATCCCACGTGGCGTAAAACACATGCACCACCCTCAGCAACATCAACAGCAGCAGCAGCAGCACATACATCATCATCATCATCAGTCCCACATGGCAGAATCTCCCTATAACAATAATAATAATAGTAGTAATAATAATAATAATACGAGGGATAATATGCAAATGTCGGATACAGTACCGATATCGCCAGTTGCACCGGAGCCCACAAAAACACGTCGAGCAAAACGTGCGAAGGAAGCAAAACCAGCTGCTACAGCAGCACCAAGAAAGGCATCGAAGAATTCGAAAAGGGTAAAACGGGAAGAAGACAACAACCTCAACGACCTTAACAACCTTAACAAGGCAGTGTTTGGAAAGTCCCACGATATGGAGCTTGGTGGGCCCAAGCTGGACTGGAAGGATCAAGATTTGGGGTTGAACCAGGTGGCGTTCGACGAGTCGACTATGCCTGTGCCTGTTTGCTCTTGCACGGGGTTTTTGAGGCCGTGCTATAAGTGGGGTAACGGAGGGTGGCAATCTTCTTGCTGTACGACTAATTTATCAATGTATCCACTGCCAGCTGTACCGAATAAACGGCACGCGAGAGTCGGTGGGAGGAAGATGAGCGGTAGTGCGTTTAATAAGCTGATAAGCCGACTTGCTGCCGAGGGTCATGATTTGTCGAACCCTGTTGATCTTAAGGACCATTGGGCGAAGCACGGTACAATCGCTACATCACTATCAAATAGAAAAAAGAAAAAAAAGATACATCATTTGATGCTAATGCAAGACAAGAAGTAAACATGAGAAATAGACATGAGTGAAGAGACATATGTGAATAGGATACTGCATGGACAAACAAAACATATGGGATTTATCTTCACATTCACGATAAGCACAATCCCCAAAAATCCGACTGCCAATGCAACCAACAAACTTAATAATCCCAAGTCAAACACAAAGATGCTCTTATTAGGTAGCGTACACACACGTCTAATGGTAGCTTTTTCTCATGAAAAACAGAGCAATTAAAAGGAACGAGATTATGCTGGTCGTGCAATGTGTAGTCCCCTGGGCTTTCTAATTGAGCTTTTGTAGTAAGTGTTCGGTCAAGTGGTTTACTGGCTCGACTCAACTAGGCTTCGAACTATTCACTGACCATATATATTATAATTTATATTGGCCGTGCAATGTGTAGTCCCCTAGGCTTTCTAATTGAGCCTTGTAGCGAGTTTTCGGCCACGTGATTTACTGGCTCGACTCAAAAAGGCTTCGAACTATTCACTGACCAAATGGTTGTAGATATATATATTAGTAATAGTAGTTCAAGAGTAGCTTTCACTCATTAAAAGAGGCAGCTTTTCCCTATAAAAACATCCAACCATGACAAGACTATTCAGAGAAATAAATAAGTTGGAGCCTTTTAAGTAATCATTTTGGGAATTGGTGAAGTTCTACCCCACAAAATTTAGAAATACACGAAGTATCAAATTCACATTTGTCTCAATCATATGCAGTATGCTTAATGCAGGTCCTATATGAGATGCAAAAACATATGAAGTGTCCTACCTCTAAAAGTTGCAAGTCTGGACACACAGACTGTTGCAAAAGTTCATGCAACTGCATCAGATTAAACAACATAAATTCCCAGCGATTTTCGCAAGGAATCAAATTTCTGTGCATCAAGGGTTTTTGCAAAAGCATCAGTTAATTCATTCTCCGTTGCAGCATAATCAATTGAGACAACCCCCTTTTCGACCAAGCCCCTTATGAAAAGATGACAAATATCAGTAAGCTTAGTTCTCGAATGCTGAATTGGATTCATAAACTTATTTTTCACATACAAATTATCACAATTCAGATTACCAAGTTTTTTATTCCCCAAACTAGCTTTGTCACCAGAACTGTTGGAACAGTTAGTACTATCATCACATGAGTTTAAAGAAGTAATGGCAGATAAACAATTAAGATCAGACTTCTTTACCCAGATTTTTCGTTGAGTTTTATTCACTAAATCAACCTTTATCTTGGGTTTTTGAGACGACACAAAAATGTGATCAATTTTAGCGGAAAGTGGTGAGCGGGCCATTATTCTTTTAACCATTTTCAAGTACTTAAAACACCTGGGTCGTATATGACCAGGAACATGACAAAAATGACAGGTAGGAACAAAAACTTTTCTTTGAAATGGCTGTGTCGGTGCAACTGTCGCAACAGTTTGTGAAACAGTGGATTGTTTAACAAAATTGATTTTTCTTTTTGGATCTTCTTTCTGTTTCAATGCATCATTAGATAGCTGATTACGTCCTATACCTGTACGACCGCAATTCGGCTGATTTTGGTTCAAAATTTCATTCAAAGTTACCCTACCAGTATTAAACTTAGAAATAGCATCTTGGGTTTGAGCAAATTTAGCCTTCAAGCTATCTGTTTCTCTACTAGCAGAAATAACATTTTGTTCAAGAGTAGAAATTCGTACCTTCAATACTTTGTTTTCCTCAATTAGGACAAGCTTCTCTTTTTCTAAGAATTTATTTGACTCACACACCTGAAGAAATTTTTCGTACATCTTTTCATAGCATTGCTTTATTTCTTCCAAGGATGACACGTCATCATCGCTGTTGTTTTCTGAATCCCAATCATCACCTGCAAGATTTAACGGAGTTAATCCTTTATCAGATATTGAATGCAACTTATCATACCTAGGTTCTGTCTGAACAGTCTGTCCAACTGTTGCAACAGTTTCAGCGACAGTCTGTTTGCACTTGTTTATCTGAGTAGTTCCTTCGTAGGCCTCTTGTAGAACATCCCATGCCTCCTTTGCTGATTTGCACATTGATATCAATTTGAATTGATCTTCATCGATACAACTCAAGATAGCATTGGTTGCCTTGGAATTATAATCTGCTATTCGTACTTCTTCATCAGTCCACTTCTCTTTTGGGGTTTGAATGATCTCGTGTGACTCATTCATTGAGGTAGGATGTGTCCAACCAATTAGAATCGCGCGCCAGGCCCATTCATCAATAGATTTAATGAACATCTTCATCCTTATTTTCCAATCAGAGTAGTTCAATTCACCCAAGACAGGTGGTAGGAATGCGCCTTCACGATGATTATTCATGTCTGCACAAAAAAAATAAAAAAGAATTAAATCCCAAAATCTCACTAAGTGTATCTAGTGACAGGCTCTTGATGCCAATTGTTAGAATTTATTTCGTGCAGATATAAATTATTTGTGTCAGATTCAGTTTTTCGTTACTGTTGCGTGAAGTGTTGCAACAGTTCGTGAAACAGTTCGTAAAAACAGAAATAAACGAGACACAAATTTTAATGTGGTTCGGATACAATTGTACCCTACATCCACGGGGACCTGCAAATAAAATTTACTAATTTTTAGTTTTACGAATACAATAATAGGACTTAATCAAAATACAAAGACTCCCTCTTTGTTGACGCCGTTCTTGTATACTACGCTGAATTGTAAATCTTCAATTTGCAGCACGTCCCTTGCTCCGCACGGTTGAACTCCCTTCAACGCTGAATCCCTCAGTCGGCGGATCGATCTCCTCCCGAGATCTGTTTAAGCCCCTCTCCCGAAGAACCGATCTTCTTTTTGTATAGAAGAAGCAAACTTGTGATACTCCTTGAATCTTGGTGTCTTCACCACAAAGCCTTGAAGCCGGTATATTTTCTATGAAAATCACGTATCACGATGGAACAATAAAAACGAGAGCAAAAATATTTTCTGTGAAAAATTCTCTCGATCAAAGACGTTCCGGGAGCAGCGAAATTAAGAGCAGAAAAATATATTTTTTCTCTCCAATAAAACGCATGCTACAGCAACCAAGAAAAGAGAGATCGGCTTCTCTCCAAAACGACGCCAATAAAAACGAGAGTAAAGAAAATATTCTGCGTAAATTTTTCTCTCTAGGAAGACGTGAGATCTGAGGCGCCGTATTGCTGTATTTATACTTCTACATGTTATAAGAATCCTACAAGGAAAAAAGAGTCCATTAGGGTTAGGAAACTCTTAATTACGTAGGAAATAATATTTTCAAAACAAGGAAACTCTTTAGAAGAATAATTCCTATTATAAATCAATTAATGACAAATTAAAAGAATTAAAAGCTACAAGGACTCTTCCCTTCTTTAGCTCAGGGTATATGAAAACTTGTGGCACAAGTTTTATTAATTCTCGTACAATTAGAATCCATAGGATTCTAACATGATCTAAGTGGTAATTTTCAAAATATAAAAAATAAAATAGTTACTAGAATATTTTCGAATTATTGAATTTGTACAGAGAAGTAGAATAGTTAAAGTTGTTATGGAATTAATAATGAGATCATTATTAATTCAAGGCTAATCCACTTCCATCTGCCTAATCCTAATCAGTAATCACTGTCAAAATGTGAACAAGAAAAAGGAAAAAAAAAAAAACAGTTATATAAATAGTATGGGCAAATTAGGGTCGGTCCTGAGTTATGGTTAAATTACGAAAACCTCCTCATGTTTGGATAATTACAGTCACCCATCAACTATGTATGGTTACATTTTGGGATGCTAAATCGGTAAAAGTCAATTGAAATTTAGGTACGCCAACATTTCATACCGTTTACCAAATTGAATATACGATTTGGTTCGGTAAATGACCGAATTACGTAAATAAGAGGGGTGACTATAATTACCCAAATAAGAGGGGTTTTCTTCCGTAATTTGGCCTAAATAGTATATATTTGTCTGAAAGCGTGGTTTGTTATGCTTACTTGGCGCCTGCACTAAAATCGCTAACGGTAAGAATAAAACAAACAACGCTTTCGAATTACAAAAATATATATTTATATATTCCGTCATTTTTAAAGCGATCCAATGTTCTTGTCTTTTTTCTTCTGAAACGTAATCTCCGCCCCTTTTCAGCGGGAGTCCCAATTTCACCATTTGAATATCAGTCGTTTCGTGAATAAAAATGTGAGTTTGATCTCCTCTATTTTATTCATCATCCACAAGCATCTGCTGCTACTCTTTCTCCCTTTAACGGAATTGTGCCCTGGGGTTTTCAAATCCGTGTTTCCCTCGTCTTCAATTTTAGGTTTTCTACGACGATTGAGGTTCGTTCGATTCTGGATTTCTAATTTTATTGTTTGCAGATTCGATAAATTGAAGTTTGTCTCAGGTTATAAACCCCAAGGGTTTTATGGTTAATTGTGATTTATGGTAGCAGTAACTATCTCGTGATTACGATTTTGGGCAGTAATTGTGTTTAGTTAATTTTAATAGCTTCGTTCTCATTTGATTGATGTCTTCGTCTCAACCCACTTTTTTCGCGAATAATTGCTTGCCGCCATTAAGCCCTTTCCCACCCAATGAGTCTCCACTGGTTTCATCAAACTCAAATTTGAAAAACGTTTTCGTAGAGGAAACAGATGTGAGCTCACGTGGGCCCACAACCGGTCTCTCTTCTCCGAGGGAATATCCTTTTTTCGGTAATAACATTAACGGCCACCCACCTCGTAAAGGGCATCGCCGTTCTAACAGTGATGTTCCGTTAGGATTCTCGGCTATGATTCAGTCTTCCCCTCAGTTAGTACCCATAGGCAGACATGAAATTCTGTGCAGTACTACAGGAAATAATAATCCCATTGGTCTGAAAAGACAAGGAATCGATGGAGTTGGTTACGGTATTGGTAAGAAATCGGAGGGGGAGGTTGTTGACGAGCTGTTTGATGCAAACGATAAAGAAAGTTTATCGAGGCAGAATAAGAGTTCTAGGGTTGTTACATCACAATTTCGGCACTGTAGGAGTCTTTCAATGGATGGAAATTTTCGATTCGGTGACTCGTCTAGTAATCGAGTGGATCAGCTGTCACCGAGAAATTCATTGAGCGAAAACCCGGCGAAGATCGGTTTGGAATTTGGACATGGTGAATTTAGTGAGATTGAGCTGAAAAAGATTATGTCTGATGAAAGGCTAGCAGAAATCGCAGTAACCGATCCAAAACGAGCAAAGAGGTATAAAATTTATATACGTTGAAACGTTTCTCATTCGAGCTTTTCTTTATACGTTGTTTTCTTTTGTAAGGATATTAGCAAATCGACAGTCAGCTGCTCGTTCGAAAGAGAGGAAGACACGTTATATATCTGAATTGGAACACAAGGTGCAGACTCTGCAAACAGAGGGCACCTCGCTTTCGGCTCAAATAACTGCTGTGCAGGTGCGCGTATTTTGAGTTTTTTTTTTCTTTCTTTGTTTCACTTCACTTCTTTAAATAAATGATTTTAATGCGGCGAATGAATTTCGTCGGCCTCCTTAGAAAGAGCTTGCTGAATTAACTAATCAGAACAACGAGTTGAAATTCCGGATTCAAGCTATGGAGCAACAAGCACATCTCCGAGACGGTATCTGATTCTTGAATATTGAATTATGTTCTTAGAGTATGGGTTTGAATTTGGATAAACGAAATATTGCTGAATGTATTTTGACTTTTCGTGGCAGCCCTGCACGAGTCATTGACCGCTGAAGTACAGCGTTTGAAGCTTGACGATATGGAGTTTAGAGAAGAAGGTGGTAGAGCATCTAATGTTACTGCTGTACAAATGAAACATCACATCTTTCCAATGCAGAGACAACAACATAATCAAATACAACGAATGTCTGTAACAACATCGAAAACCTCGACTACGGTTTCAGCTGCTCCAGCCTCCGCGTAGTCGAATCCTTAAGTTGGTCGATTATTTGGTAATCTACAGTATCTGGTAATGCTGATATATAATGATGTGGTTGGTTTTAGACCAGTAGTATATCATACTGCATACATAGGTTGTGTGTTTATTTTGTTGTTGTATTTATTTTAAAATTCATAAATTTGGGTTGCTTTACTTATATAGTTATATATATATAAAAAAATGAATTTATGTATTTTAGTCTTGGAATCCACGTGTCAAAAGATGCTTCCGCCGACACGTTCGGCGCGGCACATGGGACTCACATATATATGTTGTTACTGTCAAAATGGTGCGCATGCCATGTCAGTGCTGCCGGAATGGTGCACCGCTGTGATTATATTTTTGTATATTATATGGACCAATCATTGGGCCCCACTCGATAAATTACGCCACTACTGGGCTTTGTTTGGTTTCCACTTTTTCGGTGATTTACTAAATTTTTTTTAAACACATTTTTCTATTTAATTTTTTTTTTATAAATTATAGGACAAATTGCACTTCACCCCCTAAAAAATGTCTTTTTTGCATTTCCCCCCTCAAAATACAAAAACTAGACTTGTCGGATTTGAAATATACAACTCGGTTCACTTTGCTCCAAATGTGTATCCGGTTTAATTCTTGTCGGATTTAAGTAAATTGGAAGGGTAATTTCGTCTTTTAAGGCTTTAAATGTCATTTAACCTTTTTTCACCCTACAATACAATGATTATGAAGAGCAAAGAACAAATTTTATCGAATTTGGAAATGAATTTTAGCAAATTTGGGAAGATAATTTTGTTAATTTGTGAACCATAAGTAACTCTAAAAGGAGGATTTTCAAGTGAAAAAAGTAAAGTGACATACATATACACCCTTAATTCGGTGAGAATTATACTAGAAACACACACTTGGGACAAAGTGCATCGATTTGTATATTTTGAATGGGACAATCTCATTTTTGAATTTTGAGGGAGGAAAGTGCAATTTCCCTAAATTATAATATATTCCAGGTAAGATATTAAGTCTTCATAAATGCATGTTAGTCACCTTAGTTAATAACATGGTTTTTAATATTTAATTATACTGGAAGTTTGAAGATATAATTCATTAAATGTTTAAACATCTTGTACTTATTCATATACATTATTATTATTAATCAACGAGAAATCATTGTAAAAAGTACCCAAACAAATAATAAAAAAATAATAAATCCACCGGACTATAAATACCGGAACCCAGACCCAAAAGTGAAGTAGATTTAATGTTTGACGCTGAGTCCGCTTTTTCCCACACTGCCACTTTTATCTGTTGCAATTCAATTTCCAACAACACCCAACGAAAAAAAAAACTCTTCAATTCTACTACGAACTATATTGCTGTAGAGTGGTAGTAGTCTGTAGACAACGGAGCACAACATATTTAGAGAGAGAGAGTAGAGAGAGAGAGAGAGGCGAGGACGAAAACATGGGAAAATCAGCTGTATCGTGCTTCAGGATCATCACCTGTGCCAGTGAATCCAACGGCAACGACGATCTCCAAGTACATAGCTATCACTTCATTTTACTTAAACATGTTTGTGGATTTTCTATTGTATTGAGTTCGCGCTTCGTGGTTTGCAATCTGCATTTATCGTAGATTTTTAATTTGATTATCATTAATGCATCTGGGTTGGGTTTAGTGGCTTGATGTTTTGAATTGAATTGATTTCATCTAATTTCATGCCTTTTCCTTTTGTATGTTTTAATTCTATATGGTAGAAACATTTTGTTTAATTTTGTTACTTAACCGCGTTGATGCTCATTCTGGAATAGAATCTCTGGACTAGTGGCTTTGGATGCTAATTTGACTGTATCCTTATTTCCTTTTCCTGGATCATATCAGTTCGTTTATTGTTCTTCGTCTCGAATAGAAGCATCGATGTGATTAATTACATATACTTTTTAATGTTATGAAATGGTGTCGAAGAAAGTGTTAGATGTCAATACTGAATACTGCAAGAAGCTAAATAAAATAAATGGGAGGAAGAGGCCCATCCCATTTGATTTTTGAATGTACGAAGAATCGGATTAATTTTACTTGCAATTAGACTATGTTTGCATTTTTTTTGTTCATTGGCTTATATTATCGAAAAATATAATACTTATACCGGAAATCTGATCTAACTTTGGGGATAACAGATAATTTGACAATCGTACCTAAATAATTACTTTGCGCCGGGATTACAATTTTAAAACAATATTTAGTTTCTTATCAATGAGTGCATAATGCCAGATTGACATGTCACCATAGTTCGTAATTCCCATTTTAGACATAAAACTTCCGTTTTGGATGCTTTAGGATAGTCGTTTGGCTTGTCTAAGTTGACTGTATTCTTGATGATTTCATTTATCTTACTTTATTTCTGCTTGCGTTAGCAATGGGGGTGGTTACTTGCCACCATGCATTTGAATAAACAGACAGGATTTAGTGAAGCTATAGCTAATCTTATTACATATAGGTCGAGATTAGAGTTTTTGACTTTTTAACTTATTTACAGAGTAAAGTTTCGAATGATCGGCGTGGATGGAGTTTCCGGAAGAGAACTGCTACACATAGAGTCTTGAGCAACACTGTCATATCAGAAGCACCTTCTTCTGCAAATAATCATAGCCCAGGCTCTACTTCAGCCGACTTTTCGGTGCAGCCTAGCTTGACTGTTGCCGAGAAGAACTCTGCAGTTCAATGTACGGAAGAGAAATATAAATCGTCTGCTCAAATCGAGTCAAAATTTCCAGACATTATAGTTGCAAGAGAAGATGAATGTAGAGCAGATGAAACCCTTGACGATTCCAGCATCATCCTAATCCAATCCGCCATTAGGGCATACCTGGTATGCCTCGGTACCATGCTCTGGTAAATTCTCACTTTGTAAGTTACATAACGGACGCAGTTATAACATATATGATGCTATTGTTGTGTGTGTTATTAGGCTCGACGATTGTTACTGAAGCAGAAGAAGGTAATTAATTTGCAGCATGAAACGGAGAACCTTGAATACTGTGATGGCAAAGACGGCATTTTAGTTCCAACTGATTTTCATTCCGCAGAAACATCGGAAAATGACAACAGATCGATCACTTATGACTTAACAGATTCTGGTCCGACTGAGATGAAAGAAACAAATTTGGTGTCAAGGGTTGAAGCGAACTCTCTCCTAGACAAGGACGAAACAGGAAATGGACAAGACATACCGAATTTGGAAAAGTTCTATATAGAGCAATCTGAAACTGAGGCAAAAGGGTTTTCTGAAAAGGCAAGTAATCCCGATTTTATCTATGCTCAGTCGAAATCTGCAAAATTAACAAGTGAACAAATCAAGACTCGGGATATTGGAGTGGACGACAGTTCGATTTCCAATGCTTCATCAGTTCAAATTGCTGCCTCTGAATGTGGCACTGAACTTTCCATTTCTTCTACCCTTGACTCACCAGACAGGTCAGAGGCTGGATTTAATGATCTTGAAAAGGAATCGAAAATATCAGACAAAGCTAATGAGAAGTCCAGCGTATTGTGCACTGAATTATCGCCCGAAGAATCTCCTAGAAGCATTGTGGAATCTCAAAGAACACCTTCTAGCCAGGTGTCGGTCAATCTCAAGAAAAGCAAAGGTGAAAAAACCGAGTCTGCCAATAGCAAGAATAGGTCTTCCTCAGGGGATAAAAGGCGAAATTCTTTCGGTTCACCAAAACCCGATCAAGAACCTAGAGATAGTAGTAGCAGTAATTCATTACCAAGTTACATGCAAGTAACGGAATCAGCTAAAGCCAAAGCAATATCAAATGGATTTCAGAGATCGAGCCCAGATGCGCTAGTTAAGGACATTTTCGTAAAAAAGAGACATTCTCTACCTGCAGGTACGAATGGAAGGCAGGGGTCGAACGCTAAAGGAAATGAAATCCATTCTCCTCAAGGTAACTCTTTCACCATTCCCATTTGCATTATACTCGTTAGATAATCATAGTTGCACTTGATCCGAATAAACGAGTGACACTTATCTATTGATTCCACTTGATCATGTTCAATCTCGACCTTCCTTTATATTCTACAATTGATGTTGTTCATTCACGAAAAAGATTGTTTGTGTATCTTTTACGTAATCTCGTATTAATTTCTGACATGTGTTTGCTTGTTGTTCTTCTCGATTCAGACCGGAAGTGGCGGAGGTAAAATCAAATTGTAACTTAAGCTGATGATATTGGACTGGTCCTGGACAGGGGATTGTAGGCCTGTAGCTGAACAAGAACTATATGCACTGAGTACTGCATTTTTATATTTTTTTTATATGTAAATTGCCATATTATTACTATTTATTTTATTTTGTTCTGCCCCCAACTTAATTGTAAATTGACATTTTTATCCTGTAATCGAATTATTCGTTTAATGATATGACCCTACTTGTTTTGATATTAATTTTAATTTTAATATTCCTCATTATATAAATATATATATTATAAATGTGATATTAAATTAATAGAAAAATTATTAATCTACTAAAATAAATATAAAATTTCTATAAGGGAGTGTATAACAATACCTAAATTTATCGACAAAAATATATATTTAAAGTTTAAAAACATAACTCTTCTAGTATTTATAAGCAAAATTACTAATTGGAGTAATCAATTTTATGTTTTTCACTATTACCACTCCATTTCCTTTATTTCTTCTTGTCCCAGATTCCAGAAACCATTTTCTTCCCCAAAGTATTTTTCTCTGCGTTTTCCACCATCTCCATTGCTACTATTTTCTCTTGTCGGTCCGCTAACTTCACCCATCTCACTGCCGTGTTAACGCCGTCCAATCAAACATATTCCTGCCTGATTACTGTTGACGATTGCCGAAATCAACGAGGTTACCTTGTCTGCAAATGCTATTTGTTTTAGGTAAAATCTTCTGTTAATACCGTCAGTTTCTTCTTTTAGTTCTATTTTTTCCATTCAATTTCGTTTTCGTTTTAGGTTATGAATATGAATTACCACTTAATTTTGTGATAGAAACACACTGGAAATTGTTCATTTAATTTCCTGCTATCTCTGTTTACATTAGGTTTTTACGCATGAAGATTGATGATTTTTATCCTATATCGACGGGAATTGGAATGTGGTCGAGAAATTGTACTTGCAGTCTGAAAGAATCTATAGTTGTACGCCTGTGACCTGGAAATTTTTCCGCCTTCCGATTAAAGCTATGCTGAACAGATTACAAATTAGGCTATGTGCTTTTCAAAAGCCACACTTGTTCCCCAGTTTCATACACTGTTATACTACCGATAGTCATGGGTCAGAATCTGAAACTGAGTGGGAGAGATTGCTCAAACCTTTTGACCTCGAAATTTTACGGAAATCGCTCAATAAGATTACTCCCTTTCAGCTGAATAAATTGCTACAGCTCCCACTCGACGTGCCCACGTCAATGGAGTTGTTTCAGTGGGCTAGTGGTCAGAAGAGCTATCGTCATTCTTTCGACGTGTACTATACTCTTATTGATAAAGTCGGTACAGAGAAGGAGTTTAAGGTCATTGACAGCTTGTTACTGCAGATGAAAGCAGAAGGAATAGTTTTTAGAGAGTCAATTTTCATTATGATCATGAGGCACTACGGAAGAGCTGGTTTGCCCGGTCGAGCGACAAGTCTGCTCTTTGAAATGAGGAGTACCTTTTCATGCGAACCCACATTTAAATGTTACAACGTTGTTTTGGACGTTCTGTTAGCTGGTAACTGTCCCAAAGTAGCTCCAAATGTTATTTACGATATGTTGAGCAAGGGAATCTCCCCTACTGTTTTCACTTTTGCAACGGTAATAAAAGCTCTTTGTGCGGTGAATGAGATTGACTCCGCATGTTCCCTCCTCAGGGATATGACAAAGCACGGGTGTGCACCGAATTCAATAGTGTATCAGACACTTATACATGCACTGGCTTGTGCTAATAGAGTGAACGATGCTTGGAAGCTTTTGGAGGAGATGCTTTTTGGGGATTGTGCACCAGATGTAAATACATTCAATGACGTCATAATCGGCCTTTGTCGTGTTGATCGTGTTCTTGAAGCTGCCAAACTGGTTGATCGGATGCTTGTTCGGGGTTTCTCACCTGATGAGATAACTTACGGAAATTTGATGCAAGGCCTATGCAAAACAGGTCGAGTAGACGAAGCAAAGTTGCTGCTGAAGAAAGTGCCGAACCCCAATATTGTCATGTACAATACTTTGATCAACGGGTATATGACAAACGGTCGTTTTGAAGAAGCAAAAGCTGTATTAGATGAGAGTATGGTTAGCACTGGTTGCAAACCAGATATTTATACCTATAACATTCTAATTCATGGCCTTTGCAAGAAGGGGTTATTATCCTCCGCACATCAAGTAGTAAACGAGATATCAGTCAAGGGTACCGAGCCAAATGTGATAACCTACACCATTTTGATCGACGGTTTCTGTAAAAAAGGGCGGTTAAAGGAAGCTGAAGATATCATAGGTGAGATGTCTAATAAAGGTCTTTGCCTGAATACGGTTGGGTACAACTGTCTAATCTCTGCTTTATGCAGGGACGGACAAGTACACGAGGCACAGGAGCTGTTCCGTGATATGCCGAGTAAAGGATGTAAACCTGATGTTTTTACCTTCAATTCATTGATATATGGGCTGACCAAAGTCGACAACATGAAAGATGCCCTATGCATGTATCGAGATATGTACATGGACGGAGTCATTGCTAATACCGTGACCTACAATACGCTGATTCATGCTTTCTTGAGGAGAAGGGCAACCGAAGAAGTATTCAAGATCGTAAATGATATGCTCTTCCGAGGGTTTTCTTTGGACAAGTTTACGTACACTGGCCTTATAAAAGCACTCTGTGAAGATGGGGCTTTTGAGAAAGCTTCGGGACTCTTTGAGGAAATGTTGAGCAAGGGAACAAGTGCTAATAACCTACCGTGCAATATACTGATCAGTAGTTTATGCAGAGCTGGTAAGATAGAAAAGGCACGTGAGTTTCTCAAAGAGATGATTTGCCGAGGATTAAAACCCGATGTAGTTGTGTATAACCATCTTATAAGTGGTCTGTGCAAGATGGGGCGGATCGAAGAAGCTTATAACTTATTCGAGAAATTGAAGAGTGAAGGTATTTGTGCAGATGCCGTCACTTATAATATCTTGATTGGTTCGTACTGTAAAGCAGGCTTGTTTAATGAAGCGTATGCTCTTTTGGATAGAGGAGTGGTCGGCGGTTTGGTACCAAGTACCGTAACGTGGCATATACTAGTTACAAATCTGTTGAAAAGGGTAACGAGGAGAGTGGAGCGTTTATAGTATCGCTAACGAAGGTCACATTCTCTGGCATAAATCAAAACATAAGTTATCTAAGTACTTTTTTTTTGTTAAATAATAAGTGTATGCTTTGATTTGATGACAGGTAAAATTGTCATGTAAGAAGGAGCAATTGGCTGAATGTTTAGAGTCTGTTTTGAGTTGCAGAAAGACTTGAAGCAGCATGTTTGTTTTGACTTTTGAGGTATGGAAATCATTTTAACACCAGTAATATTTTCATTTAAAGTTGTTACAGCTTAAGAAATAAATAAAAAAGATAAAAGATAAAAGAAAAAGTTGTTACAGCTAATTATAAAAAATAATAAAAATAATAATAATAATAATAATAATAATAATAAAGTCGTTACAGCTAAGCGGCCCATTGTTTTTATGATAATTAAATAAGCGGCCCATTAGGGGTCGCGGAAGGGCGTAGGTAGAAAATACACCGCCCTATATAAAGTAGGAAAATAGTATAATATAATTGCATTATTGGCGAACAAGAGATAATAAGAATCAGAGGCGTTAGGGTTTCTTTTTGTTATTTTCTTCGTTCTGATTTTCTCTCTCTGTTCATTCTATTGAAAGGCGATCAACTAAATCCGAATAAAAATATATATAATTTTCGTTTTTATAGACTTTTTCGTGCCGGAATTTGTCGATTTGATTGTTAAAAAACGATTTGATTTTGAAGATTTATATATACGTGTACGTTTGAGAATCGGTCGAATTCAATTTATTTGATTAGTAATTATGAGAGGATCGCACAAATCAAAAAGGATTACTTGGGCTTCAGATCTTAATCTTTGTCAGGTATATTTCGTTGTGATGATCATTAATTTTCTTTAGTTTTTGTTGGATATATTTCAATAACTAATTATATAGACGATTCTAAATAAATGGTGAAGGGTGGAAATTGCAGAATGAATGAACGTTAGGGGGTTTCCATGGCGAAACTCTGGAACAGAAGCTGAATGGAAAGATTGATCATTGATCATTTTAATTATTATTATTAATTAATAAGAAAATTTATATTTTAATCCGAAGACAAATTTTAACCATGCTCCTCTCTTGTAGAGAAAAGTATAAATTCGAGTTATTTTATTGTCAATGAATTCAATTTGTAATTAAGATGATGGAGAAAAAAATAGAACAAACGTTACAAATTGTGGTTGGTTTCGCCATCTTTAATCTTGAGTTAAAAGACAACCAGAACTCATATCAAGTAGTTGAAAATTTGTCTTTACAAACATGTTAGAGAAGTATAAACCAAAAGCGCACTAATTAATTTCGATTTTGTAGAGTCGTGGACACAATTAGCATCGATATTTATCAGATTTCCATTGATTTTATTTGAATTACGGCCTCCCTTTTATTAAAATGTTACACAAAATCAAGTTGGATGGAAAATCGAAAAGGATGTAAACATATGTTGAATTGTATGTTTGCTCTCGATTTTCAATATTTGGATTCAGTCATCTAACTGATCAATGTTTTCAGTGTGTTCGTTTTATTTCTTTAGTTTTGAACTCGTATCAAGTTTATACCCACGTTTTACCGCGTTGTCTTATTTTGTGTTTCTAGTTTGTTGTATTTTATCTTTAATTGTGCCTCTAAACTTCCTCACTGTTTCTATTTACGAATTCAGCATATCTTGTTTTCTGATGTCCGATTCAATTTTCTTTTTATCAGATAAAGCTGTTTTTGTCTGAAGAACCTCCTTCCCAAGTTGGAATCAAAACTCGAAATCATCCCCAGACAATGCCGTTTTGGCCGGGGCAATCAGTTGGTAATGAACCTAATGACAATTTGCCACCTGGCTTTGAAGGAATCCATCAGTCCGTAAAATTGTCTCAAATACCCCTGACAAAATGGAGATGCCCTCCCAGAGTAAGTCTATTTTTCCGAAAACTTTTAATTTTGTACATTAGGCATATATGCTTATATTTCGTCATTTGTTCGTGTTTTGCAGATTGAAATTAACAGCGAATGGCAAGTGGTTGCTGGAGAAGAAAGCAATGAAATAAAAGCCGAAAATCAACGAGAGACGAGAGTACTCGAAGCAATTTACCCTTGGCCATCAGCTATTCCTCCAAAGTACCACTCTTTACCTCTTTTATATGTTTCTCTCTTTACTTATCGACTTATTTTCCATTCAATTAATGATGTTCTTCTCTTATCTTTTCTTCCACAGCCCTTCTGTACTAGCTGAGGTAGCAAACTCAACTGGTAATGACCAAAACACCCCTCGGGTTCCCCTCACACCGATCGAAGAAGGGGATGCTTCACTGGGTACACTTCTTTCCTCTCATGCCAATGGAACAGTTCAAGATACGAAGCCAATTGAATCTATGATTGATAGTGATTTGCTCATGAAAATTCTCAGTAACCCAAAATTGGTCGAGCAACTCGTGACCAGCAACGGCGGGCCCACTAATAAACAAACGCCGTTATATAATAATAATACGCATAATAATATACCCAGTTCCAACTTACAGAGTAAACCAGCTATTGGATCGCAAAGAGTTGGTACTCGAAATACGGCATCTATCACTAGCCCACATTATATTCCGAATTCCTATGATCCGACTAAGATCGGTATCAAGAGAACAGATCACCCTACTGTAGTGAATGGACCTTTTTACCCTTCTCCTCAAACTAGAACTGCTATGGGAGCTCCTATGAAAAAGGACGTTAACTATTACAAGAGTCTGATTCAGCTACACGGAGGAGAAAAACGAGATGTGTTGCCACAATTCGTTCACCAGGACAATCGACAAATGATGATAAATCAACAACCTATTAGTAACTTTTTAATGAAATCAAGAGAATCGTCAAATCCAAAGATAATGACAAGACCTTGCGTGTATTTCAATACTCCCAAGGGTTGCAGGCATGGAGCTAATTGCACCTACAAACATGATACTACGTCGTACCAACATAGGCTCAATGGTTACGCTCCGGAGGTTCAAATTGCAAAAAGAGTGAAATTAGATAGGGAGATTACTGGTATTTAGTTTCATTGAAAAAAAAACAGCAAAAACAATAAAAAGAAACTGTTTTCAATGAGAAATGATCCATCTTTCTTGTACGTGTTTGTGTTTTTCGTTTTTCAATTCGTGTAAAGATTGAAACCTGTATTGATTTTATTGAGATATTCTACCAAATAAACAAATAAATGAAATACATTGAATTGATGAGAAAATTCGATTTTCATGCCGTATTGACTGACGGTATTATGATCTATGAGTAAACAAATTGACCGACTTCATTTGAATATTTAGAAGCTTAGAAAGATTAATTTCGAGCTATGTTTAACTGTAAATTAAATAAAACACTAACTAAGTTTGAACTTTAAAGATTAATTTTTGAATTAAATATAAAGTAATTAAATTTACTCATATGACACTTAAAATTAAATCAAATTCAAGTTTAATATGGGCCTAATAATAACGTGCTAAATTTAGTGGGCCAAATTTGTATGTAATGTTTACCCAATGCATATTATTTTAATATTTAGTATGGGCCTTGCCTACTTTCTCTCTCTCTACACAATTATAAATTAAAATCAGGCCATAAATCAAAATTAAGCGATTACAGTTTCTCTCTCTCTCTCTCTCTTCTGAAAATTGGGTCTGTGTTAAACCCTGGGAAAAAATGTTGAAGTTCTTGTCGAAGGTGAGGATCGAGTTCAACGCACTGGACCCACGATTAGCTTCGTGCATGGAGTTTTTGGCGCAGTGCAATGCGCGCAAGGCCAAAGAATCGAACCCCAGTTGCCAGGTCCAAATCAAGCGCCGCACCGACGATTTCCCACCCAGGATCACCGTCACTTTCGTCAACGGCGTTGAGGAAACCTTCGACGCCACCGCCACTCCGGCCCAGGATATCCGCACCATGATTCTCGATAAGGGCCAGTTTCTCGAGACCGAGCAGATGTTTAAGGAAGCTGGTGAGAAGTGGCCGGTTGTTATCCCCGATGAAGAGCTTCTTCAACCCTTCACCGGAATCAAGGTAATTGATTCTCTCATAGCCTTTTGTATTGACTTTTTTCGTTTTTTTGATCGGATATGACTTGTGCTGCACAGTGAGTGATTATGATATTGGCTAATTTGTGGTTTATTCTTTGAGGAAATTCGTCGAACACTTGTAGTGTTATGGTTGAAATGATGTTTTTTTGATCGACTGAGATCCCCTGCCTGGCTTTTTAAGTGTAGTGCTTGGTCTGGAAAGCTTGTAATGGTGAGAAATTTTATGCCGTGAGAACACAGAACTCGTATTGCTCGATTAAAATGAGTTTATATTGTATATGCAGATAGATTACGTTGGCATCATTTATTCCTATTAAATCGCGACAGATAATTATCTTTAAAATACATGGTCAAATTCATTGATCGATTTTGATTTTTGAGTGGCCGACCTGTAAGAGTCACTAAGCAATGCTGAATCAACTTAAATGTTAGGGCTGTTAAAAAAATATTTAGGAAGATAGGACTCACGATGCATGATTGGTTTGAAACGAGTTGTACAAACTTCCCTTATGCAGTAAATAATTCTGATGGGATCTTTGGCCTCGATTCATTTCAAAAGATTTCTTTTATGCTGTATGATGGTAGTTCGTTTTAGAATTTCCAATGGGACTGATTAGATACTTTGATTATGTGTAGTTAAGTTCTCCATGTAGATTAAGAAGGTTAGGATCGCATAATCAGGCGAAAAAATAGGCTCGGCGATAAATATCTAAGAAATTGAATTATATTGTTAAACGTTCATAACGGAGTTGGTTAGTCAGATTCTCACTTGTTTCTATTGTAACTTTTGCAGCCAAAGAAGGCAGAAGAGAAGCAGCAGTAAATCGTCGTCATCATCTATGAGTGAATTAAATGATATTGGATCGATCAGATGCAGTTGGATAGGTTTAAGCCAAGAAATCATAAATCGAAAAAAAAATGCAATATAGAGGTCAAATTGCTGAATTAGTTGCTAACATGTTCTCCTTCGTATGGACGTATAAGATTATTGCGTGTAATCGAGACCTTTATTCATTCTCGTGTCTCTTGTAAAACGTACTGGTGCAGCTGTTTGTTCTCCTTTTCTATTCGGACATCAAACAAGATTTCTGTGTTCTTTTTAATAACTAATTGCTTGTACCATGACGGTGGATCATGTTAGCATATGTTTTACATTCTACCATCAATTTAGGTTGTATATATATATATATATATATATATATATATATATATATATATATATATATATATTGTTTTAGTACAAGAAATAGTTCCTAAGAACTGTGCCAACCACACAAGATTCAGTCACAGAAAACAAGCAAAACATTTATTTAGCACCGATCCCCTCAGAGGCACGATTATTGTCACTCACTTTCAAACGAAGAACATTGCAAACAAAAAAGGATAGCATCCCCCAACGAAAACGATAATTTAAAATCATATCTAATTACACAAATCCACACCAAAAAAACATATATCTCGATTAATGTGCGACATATTTACGAATATCGTATAATTATCTTTCTTCGCGCCTAACGGCACCTGGATTAGACATCATATCCATCATCATCTTCTCAGGCGAATCTTCCCAATTGGTAAAAGTTTTCAGGTCAATCTGCAAAAATATTGAATAAAAAATTATAATATCAATTTCCATGTAAGAACGACGAAACTCTTGCAAAGACTACTTGTAATTAATTACCTTTCGCCTTTGATCCGTAAAAAGCTGTTCTCTTTTTCTGTGAGAATTTTGAATCTCTATAGAACCCGTTCCCCCTAATCCCCATACCTCCACTTCTAAAACCGATGCTTCAACTTGTAAGTATCCCTATTATGAAACACACACGATTCAGACTTCTGAATCATCAATATATACAAAAACGGGATTTTTTTAAATTCTTTATCATTGCAATATTACTAGTCTCTATCGTAATAACGAATACCTGATTGGGGAAAAGGGCGCCATGCTGGTACGTTTTATCAACAGCATGGTGGCGTACAGTAACTTTTGCAAAATCCTCGTCAATAAATATTCTTTCATTTCCAATATTTCCTCCAAATGCAATTCCCACCGGTTTTGGATGTGCATCGTACAGACCAGTTGGATGCAAATGGCTATAGATGAAATTTTTCTCTCTTCCTGTTACATCATTGCGTTTTTCATTATTTCTTAACAATAGTTACTATATATTAGAGCATGGTTAAAAAAAATCAATATAACCCACCGGAGGTTGTTAATGCACGAAAGACTGGGCTTAAAGCATACAAACTGCCAGAAGTTCCATAAAACGAGTCCTTATTTTCAAAACCCTGATGAGTAAGTGCACCGATAACCCATCTCCGTGTATTATCTCCATCCTCACATGCTGCAGCAATAAGTACTAGTAATGGACCATTGTACCCCTCGACATTTGACCAAAATCGATTGAGTCCTTTCCCATGAACAGATGACCTGCAATGTTGTTCGTAAACTAAGCCATTGAAACAACATACTATATATATATTTAAAAGAACATGAAAAGAATTCGAGGATTCTACCGATAAAGTAGGTTCTGATTTATTTCATCAATGTCGTTTGGGAAGCAAATTCTTGATATCTCTTCACATACAGAACCTCTCAAGGTCAGTGAGATGGCCCACGCCCATCCACAAGTCAAAAGGGTAGCTTCGGAAATTGCTGACGTGGAGCTTTCTTGAGCAGAAGAACAAGACGGCTCCGATTTATCCTGCAATTATTTGATTCTATAAATTAGTAACGGAAAATCTAACCAAACCAATAGTCAAATTCAAGCAAAATACTTCCCTCTTACAATGCAACAATATAAAAGATTCATCCCTTTGAATGATTGACAAAAAACAAGAAACGACAACTAAGTTAAAATAATTGCACCATACTGAAACGAAAACATTAGACATAATAATAGTAATGAATAAAGGAAGGAGACTGCTACCTCGTCGGTTGTGAGGTGGCAGAGTCTTGCATAGACAAACTGTACAAAGCAATCGGCGAGGTTTGGTATATTCTTCAACGCCCATAAATGAATTTTCGAGGCAGGAAGTCGAATTTCCATTTCTGAAACAACGGAATCCCAAAAATTCAATTCAAGCCCATCTTCAGCACACGATTCTATAGCTGATAATACCAAATGAGAAATATCCGGAAGAATGCATTTTCCTTCGGTTTTTCCCGTGTTCGATTTCAATGTCTTAGAATCCCATGAAAATATCCAACAAACCGAAAGGAGTGTAACAATATCTTGGGCGGATAAAGTCCCGTTAATTTTACAATCATCGTCAAATTTCTCGAACTGCAGATCAACTGAAAGTCCAGCTTTCGAGCACGTTGTGGAAAATACTTGGAATAAATTATTGAATAATGAGGAAGCAACCATTCTTCCGCAACATTTCGTGTATCCTCTCAAGAACTCCAACCAATTTACTCCGTCTTTATCGGTCACAAAAAATAAGTCGATTATTGCAGAACCCAAATGTGTGAAGAACACAGAGCAGTCCTTATGTAACAATTGTTGATCAGATTCGAAGTTGTCGAAATTAAAATCGAAACATTTCTGAAACAAATACAGAGTAAATCAATTGCAAAACAATCCAGATAATCACTAAATCCGGCTAATCGTTAATATATTTAATATTCCTTTTTCCCTAAAAAAATTCATCGAAATTACACACCGAAAAAAAAGGGATTTTGTTGGGGAGGAATTGAATAAATTGTGTTTTAGCATTACCTGTAAAGAGTGGAGTGGAATTGAATTAGTTTGGGGATCGGAGAGAAGCGAAAATGCCTTCTGCAGAGAGGGGAGGGATCCAGTGGATGCAGCAAGTGATTGTACCTCGCGCAGTTCCGGTGATACGTTGTGCTCCGTCGATGATGATTGCCCCATTTTTTTTTGTTGCTTGATCGCAGAAAAAAAATGGTTTTTTTTTTTTTTTTCTGTGCTTTCTTATCTAATAATTGAAGATTTTTGATTAAACGGCTTCTCGAACTCTGAAGAGTGAAGAAGAAGACGATATTTTGAACATGGAAGCAATTAACAGATTTTTTACCGCTATACTCATCAAACGTTTTTAGCATCATTAGTTAACTAAATAAATCAAAATATCGCCGGTTCAGGAATTTTGTGGGCTTTCTTAATTTTGAAGTTCAGCCCTTTAATATAAGGTCCAATAAAAAAATCATATTTTTCAAATATTTTTTAATCAAAATTGGAACAAATACCCAATTTTTATTATTTTTGAAAAAACTAAAAATAAATAAATAACTCAATATCATTATTTATTTTATATTATTCGTGATTATTAATTTGAATTTTTCGTTTCCATGGATTCCAATTTTTCGAAAAAAATAAAAGTAAAAATTAGATCAAATAGTTATTATTTAGGACAAATTGCGGACACCCGATGAGTTATGGTCAAATTACGAAAATTCTCATACTGTTTGGGTAATTACGGCCACCCCTCAACTATTTATCTTACTAAAATACCCCTCGAAAGGAAAATTTAGGAATGTTAAATCGGTAAAAGCGAACTGAAATTTCAGTACGCCAACATTTCATATCGTTTACCGAACTGAATATACGATTTATTCGGTAAATAACCAAATTACATAAATTTTATGTAAAAATATTTAAAAGAAGGGGGTGGTTGTAAATACCCAATATTGAGTTTTTTTTATAATTTGACCATACCTCAATGGTTGGCAGTAATTTGCCATATTATTTATAAATTCATATTTTTTTAAATAATAATTATCAATTACTAAAATATTGTGTTCATACGAGTCTACATTAGTATAAAACGTGATTTCATAAAATCAAATGCCGAAAACGCGCTTTTATAAAGAATTCAAATTACAACAAACACACGCACAACTTTACAACAACAAAAAAAAAATGCTAGAACCAAGTCTCTAATTAAGATATCCTATCTAACGTTGACAAACAGTTTCGTGGAATCTAATAAGAATATTCCATCCAAGGCATGCACAAACATTACAGCAAATTTCTCATCTGAATATATTTTCCGTTTACTTAAAATCAGATTCTTCAGCTAAGAACAGAGTTCAAAATCTGCATCCCTTCTTCTCCCATCTGCTTCACTTCCGACGGCGATAATATTCTTATGCATCTCACGCACCCCACAAATTCCCTATACATATACAACAATTGTACGTATAATTAATTATTAATTAATTAATAGGAGAGATGTTAATTAAGATAAAAAAGTAGTACTACTTACTCCCATGGATCGTCGCCAACGAGAAGAACATCGTTTTCGAAATCCACATACACCAACTTCCACTCCGAACACGAGTCGATAAGCAAACCTTCGAGACCAAACATTCGTTCTATTTCACATCGGAGCTGCTTGTAGTCTTTAAAACTCGACACATCTATCGACCTTCCCACGGATCCCGCCTTTTGTATCTGTCATTATATATATACATACATATAGATACATGTAATTAATTAGTTATTGTTGTATGTATAAAACTTGTCGTAAATAAAAAAAAATTGAGTCTTTACCTTGGTATAAGTTCTGAACCGTGGAGGGAGTTGCTGCGTTTGAAACGAGCCCTGATGCAAGAGAATATTCTCGTCGAAATCCACATTGCTCGAATCTGCCAGGCTGGCGGAAGTAATCTGGGATTGGACATCGCACAAGTTTCCGACAAGATAATTATCTGAATGATTTGGGAAATCCACGTTTTTAAGCGTACAGAAATCATCGAGTATAGTAGTGTTGGAAACGGAAGGATCCATAACCGTACTTCCGCTGTTACTACTGTCGATATTCAGACAGCTGTATATGTCACCACCGTTTTCATCCGACAAGTCTTTCATATTCAAACCGCACGAATTGTACTGAATTTCCGACATTTCTTGATGAGGCAAAAGCACGGGAAGATTATTGGTGGCTTCGGAGACACACTTTGCGGTGTTGTTGAAATGTGGGTCCCACATCTCTTGACCGACTGAAGTCAACATGGGAAAAACGGCTTCTGACGACTGTTCAGATTTCTTAAACATGGAACACGATCCAGATGGAGAAGACGAACTGCATAGGTTGCGATAGGAATGAAAGTCAACTTGGCTCGAAGACTCGATTTGGGTTGGCTCGGTTTGTTGAGTTTGAAGAATATGAGTCTCGAATTGCGACGACTGTGTCGTAAAGGGACTCGTCTGCAAATGCAGCATCCCGTTATTCTGGTTCGCGGCAGTAAAATCATTACCAAGTACATGTTCGAATTTCGTGTATGCGGTATTCGATTGGCCCGCCATTATTTGAGGATGAGTTTCTTCTTGTGCAGGAATATTTACACTTGTAAGCATCTTCTTTATTTGATCCGACCACATGTTCGATACTGAGGAACATTGAAGCGGACTATCGGGAAATCGAGGGAAAGGCCTATGTATCAAATTCTCCCATTCTGTTTGAGCTCCTAAAGAAAATTTAAAAAAAAAAATGAGTTATAAAATATCGAAAACATGGAACAAAAAAAAAAGTTAGCATGGAAAACGACGTAAAACAAACCTATGAAAGAAGAGTGAAACGGGCGTTTGAGAGTGGCGGTTAGTGACGGAAATATAAACAGACTTTCAGGAGTTTCGACTTCCCACGGGCTAACTCGATTCTGTTTATCACCGCAACCAGGTTCATCCCACTCTACCTGTTCGTTAATCAACGAGCATCGAATTAAAATCATAAAAAAATTATGCTCGAAATTAAAAAAAAAATACAAAAATTAAATGTTATCTATCACCTGAAGACTACGCCACTTTGAATTAGGCCATCTTAGTGGATCCAAGTCGCTTATTCCTATAATAGTGCCCATATATCTGCATTACGAAAGCATAAACGTGTTAATCTCCATGTGAAAGAAAATGGCGGTATTCTTTCAAGAAAGTTTAAAATGTTACCTCCGTTTAGTGGATTCTTCGGTTTCAAACATAAATCCGAATCTCATACTAATAGAGATTTGTGTGCCGTAGACAGCTTTTCTATATTTGGCCAATGGAACGATGAATACTGAAGGGCATGCCCTACAAAAATAGTAAAATAAAAGGGCAATCATGTCTTAAATTGCTAAAAAAAAAATCAATTTGCAAAATAAATAAACGAAAACGAGATATAGATATATATCAAATACCTTGGATTGTAGAAAATTGTGAAAGGGGTTTTATTAGCAGCGGCATGAGCGGCGGCGGCAAAGATTCCAATGTGCATACTATCGGTAGACAGAACAGAAGATGGTAGAGTTGTTTGCTGGCGGTTAACGCGTCTCACTCCCAGCAATAATTGTGACTTTTCGTCTCTAAACAAATATATATATAAATGTCAATTTTTTTTTATTATATAACCATTTTCATCATATGTAAGAAATGTGGATTAGGAAAACATAGTACAATGGGAAGTTACCTGATAAACAGAACCGAATCGCCTGCTCTAAGTCGCTTAGCACCAACGAACATACTCCAACCAGTTGTTAAAAGGTGCCTCTTCGGCTGTCCTAATAAGAAAAAAAATACGAAAAAATCAATGTGAGATTTAAAGAAAGTTTTTCCATTGATTTTTTTAAAGAAAATAAATAAAATAGAAATACGAAGGGAGTCTATTTACCCCGGTATATGTGACGAAAAGTCCATGTATTATCATGCAAATCACGGACAACAAGTTCTTGCGTTGGAGGCTGCATTGAGTAATCCTGAAATATGAACGAACGTAATATAAAATATTAGTTCTTGAAAAAAAAAAACTTTTGGGATAAATGAATAAATAGTGAAGTCAAAAACCGTACTAATTGTGGAAAGAGTTTTTCTGCAGCCCTACGAGGAACCGAGAAGCCGCCATGTGTACTTGTATCACTTGCCGTCAAAGTTTTGCAGAAGAATTCGGTTGGATGTTTACTAGGCTTTTGTCCGAAGTCGGGTATAGTGAAAACATCTTTTTCCTGAATCAAATATAAAATAATAACATCACAATCGAGTTACAACATTCTATCGGGAAATGCTTATTTAATCTTTGCAAATTTATCGGAACTTACGGAATTCACGGCCTGGAGGCTCAATTGGGCATATGTTTCATCTGTTTCTTTGTCTGCCTATTCATATGAAAACGGTCGAAGAACAAAACGTGAATAATCGAACATAAATTGTGCAAAAACGAAATCTTTAATGAGAAGATGTTTACGGAAATACATACATGGAGCGTAACGTTGTGAACTTGGCACAATAACTGAGAGGGGAGATTTGGATAGTTCGGTATCTGTGTTGTTGCTGTTCTATTGGTCGAGACCGCAACCTGTTGTCGGACAAATGAAAAAAGCCACATTAACTCGTGACGAAACATCCCGTTTTTGCCTGCATTCTTCGCTTTGTTATACATTACTAAAAGAAGCCCTCGTGAATTAGTTTCGACTAGTGTGATATTTCAAGAGAAGCAACTCTAAATGCCTAATTCTACGGGAATAACTTTTTTTTCCAATTTCACTGCGATTTAGTCGAATAAGAGATATTATTGCAGGTTTCAACTGTTAATTAAGTACATAAATGAAGCATAAGCAGTATCGACAAAGACGGTCGATTAAACTTTCGGTGAGACGAACCTGTTCGCTATGCCCTTGCGGAAAATAGTAAACGAGGCTCCCAATCTGAGGCAATGTGACCAATGGACCAGCACATGCATGCCAAAGCTCAGAATTTATCGGTTTCTTTAACCCTGCAACATACCGAAAACTTCGATTTCCAATCCTCCAAAGGTAAATAATGCAGAAAAATAGCATTAATAATCACTGATAATTGTTTTGTAATTAAAACTTACCGGCGTGATCATGCACTTCTTTCAACAACTTCATCCCTTCAAACATATTACTATTAGCCCCAGCTTTCTGCTTTTCTTCAACAGAACCCATGTCTAATAAAAATCTCTTCTTTTTCTCTAATTCAATGCCACAAATGAACCCAAGTATAAAAATTGAATCTTTCCATCAAAAAATAGCAGCTTCATTGCCAGGAAAGAAAAGGGGGGAAATATCAAGTAACCCTAGTTCAAGAAAATACAATCAGCAGCAGAAGAAATTACTACTCATCAGTAATTTTCTTGGAGGGTACAGAAGAATATTAAAGGCCAAGACAAAAAATACAGAGAATCTAATAGTATAGTGAGAGCAACCAATCAAGGAGAGCATGCACTAAACAAACCAAAACCAAAGAACAAAACCCACACTGCAAAAGGTAACAGAAATAAAATCCAAGTGGGCCTTCCTCTCTCTCTCTCTCTCTCTCTCTATCATCAAGAACCCCTCACAGCTAAAAGGGTTTTCCAAAAAAAAAAAAAAAAGAAAGAAGAGAGAGAGGGGCCAAACACTAACACACAGAGATACACACACAATGATTTAGAGGGGCCAGAATTTTAATTTTTTGCATCAAATTAAAGCACGCGGACCAAAGCATGAAAGGGTTGGTTTATCAAATGTTACTTTCTCCTCTTTTCTCAAAAGAAATTGACCTTTCAAACGAAAAAAGACGAGTCTTTTTGCTCTTCTCTCTCTTGTTTTTTTTTCCCTCTTTCCTTAACGTTACTTTTCACAGTCCTTTGGGTTCTTACATCATCCTTTTTAATCGAAGGGACTCTTTGTCAAAACTGGCAAACAATGTGCATGCTCTTCTCTTAACCACCGCATAATAATAAACTCCGCTCAAATTAGTTGATTTCACATTTAGCTTTTTTAGGGTTAGAAATTTGTGATTCGAAAAACAAGAAAATTCTGCGAAAACAGAGCAATCACAGATAAAGAGACAACCCTTTGCTTGCAAACATAAAACTACACCGCATTAATTAACTACATTGATTAATACAAGAAATCAAGAATGTACGTATCTTATGTAGTACTAATTTCTTTTTTTAATTTATTTCTCGGGTTATGTTGAAAATTAGGTGTGGGTTTTCGGGTCAGTTTATATATTTTTGACCGTTGAGCATGCGTACGGTTCACGACGGATTAAGATGCGGCGCCTCAAAACCTGTGTTGCTGCCGTCACCACTTTATTTTGTGGCTAATTATTTGGTAGAATTTAAGTAAAATACAGAATTAAAAAAAAAAAGAACAAAAAAAAAAACAGAGCTCCTAAGAAAGAAATGATGTATTCCTGATCAAAACCGTTCACATGTATTGTTATATTGATGCAATACATTATTATTCTTATACAAGTGACCATTATTTATTCAGATTTTTTATAAGTACTAAATAAATAAAGGGATGATAATTTAGAGAGTTATGGGAAACAGTTTTGACTGATTTTGACCGATTTCTAATATGATTTTGGTAAAATTCAGTACAAGAAAATTGTACTTCATTGAGTTAATATTTTATTTCAACTTGAATCAGTTAGATTGAATATTATATGACATATTTATGCATAAATGAATTAATTTTTGAATTTAGATAGCTCAAAACATTAAAGTTGTGAGCATTATTTGTTGACTCATTCATACTTAAACGGTATTATTCAAACTAACACGATATTTATTACGTCCCTTTATTTTATAGTTAAAAAATATATTTAGTAAATATTATTGCTATTATATACAAAAAAAAAAAAAAATATTCCTATTTGTTGTGACGAAAAAGCAATTATATATACATAACCGAATATGACATTAATTCCTTGTTGATTAGAACCTGATGAATAGGATACAGTGACAGCTGATGTCACTTGTTAGGCTTCATTCAAAATCCTCTCTTGTTGCATTTCCTCCAGTACTCTCCAGTATTAATACGAACTAATTAATTTAAACTATTTTAATTTAATTAACCCGCTTCCATAAAATTGCAATTATACTACTCATTTCACGCATGCACTGTGGGGGAATCTCTTTTGCCTCCGCAACCATCTGTGGGGCCCACGTTTAATCGCGCGTGCATTCATCGGGATGAACATCTTGATCCAACGGTCCAGAAACGACTGTGCGCAAGGAGATTCACGACGGGGCAGTAAGTCTAGCACGGTTATCAAGGCTGTTGGGAACTAAAACTCGCCGCAATTTTCTTTGCTAATTTCCAACGCCGTTTTGACTTTGATTACACGTTTCATACGGCCCTCAATTTGCTACATTTAAACAATAAATTTAGCAATAAATTTATATGTTCACATTTATTAATCTTCATAATAAAGGTCCATAATTTGTGGTGATTAATTATTGTTCTTCCTCTGTAATTAAGAAAAATAATATTTTTTTCAAGTTATTATACGAAGAGTTTGTTTATCCCGTACACTTATATAGTTAGTCTGTTGCTGTTTTAAAAAAAAAAAATTAATTAACAATAAAAGAAATACGAGTTAAAATGATTTCATGGTTGAAAATGGTAGCAAGATTAATAATTATGTGCTCCAAAAAGAACTAGTCTACAATATTTCTTCATTATTGTAAATTTAGAAAAGCAGAAGCAATCACTCAAGTAATTATTAGTGATGATTTACTTATTTATGAGTACAAAGGATTAGGAGAAGATTTGAATTATGAAAAGATTAATGCAGAGCATGTTTAAATTTGACCCCCATTGACTAAGACAATAAGATTAAAGGCAACACTAATTGCATCATGCTGGTTTTGCCCTTTTGACTCTAATGCATCAAATAGTCTTTTTTGGGTAATAACTAAGTTTTGACTTGATTAAATTCATCACTTTAAGGTTAAGGAAATTCCATAGTGAGTTTTAGAATTATTGGATTTGAGGAATAATCAAATGATTAAGATTATGATGATTGCCATTATTATATCCATGATAATTAAATTCAGATAATGTGAAAAGGGAGAGAAAAAGAAAAGGTGGGGGGCCAAGCATGATAATTGAAAGTGAAAGAAGCAAACATAAGCGTGGCAAAAGAGGGAGAAACACAAGAACATAGTAGAATGTAGGGAGGTAAGGGAACATATTCTCCGTATGTAAAGATACGGTCTATAAGATGCCACATTTGGCGTAATAATCTGGGCGATTTTGAACCGTAGATATATATATACAATCATGTGTGTAATTATGTGTAGATATCTATGATTCAGGATAACCCGATGTATTTCAACAGGTGTAGAATGTACAAGACCGTAAAAGGACTCCATTCTGTGTACTGTAAGGTGTGGGCCGAGTTTCAAAGTTACTTGACTTTAAAGTGGGCTTTTTTGTATATAAAAAACAAGTTAAAAAATGTTGTCCACTCTAACTCTGTGGGCTTAAAAAGCCCATGCAAATGGGGTTTTACACAGATTCAGATATCAAATCCTAAAACCCTACGTACCAGCTTTAATTTGCTCTTCAACGTAAGCTTCTTGATTTTGGTTATTAAACTTACTTCTCATTCGATTCATGCATGCAGTGGTTCCACTGCTGCATTACCAAGGATTTAATTGTTAGTATTACATCATCTACTTTCATTATTATTTTAGGTTTGCAGGAATTGATGGTTTCCCGGGGGCCACATGCACTCACTCGTTAGTTGTCCGAAATAAATTCGCGTGAATATTCATTTTCAAGTCATGATATGCAAGTAAGTTTCTTCGAGAACCAAACCAATAGACGATCGAGCTATGCTTCAATAGATTTTACAATATATATACCTATTTCCGTATCGAACTAAATTTGCGGAAAATTCAACTGTTTGAAATTATATAAAAATAAATAAACGCGAATGATTAGATTTTCACATGGCCAAATGAAACTTGGGTGTTGATTGAAATACGATCGGTGAAGAGCATGGGTTCCATTTTATCTTTATAATTTCATTTATGAGTACTTATGAGTCTGCTGAACCACCATATATCTCAAATAGAACCATTCAATCATTATCAAGTGAGGTATGGCGCCCTTTTCTATAAAATCCTTTAAATCCATTTGAAAGTGAAACATATATATGCAGACAAATAATTTGATAAATTATAATATTGAGAGAGAGAGAGAGAGAGAGAGAGAGAGAGAGAGAGAGAGAGAGAGAGAGAGAGAGAGAGAGAGAGAGAGAGAGAGAGAGAGAGAGAGTTTAGCTAGGTTGGTAAATGAAGGTGGGAGCTGCATCTTCCTCCCATGTGCAGGTTAGGGTTTTATAATCACAAGAATACAAACAAGGGTTTTGTAACCATTATGCCGTGTAATAAGGACCCCTAACATGCATTATATTCAAACTCTCTATGGAATTTGTTTTTATGTAGTATCTATATATATACATATACATATACATATAAACTATTCTCCAAGTATTAGAATTTGGGTAGTAGTAGTTATAAGTTATGGTTCGAATATTTGTTTGGTTTACCATAATACATTATAGTTTGACCTAGTTGTACTCCCATTTCTCTTTGACATAAAAAGAAAAGAAAAAAGATATTATTGGGTGATCTTTATTGATGTGGATTGTTGAATTACTCCTAATTAATTAATTAATTCCTCGTAATGAATTCATCAACAAAATGAAATATATGTCAGACTGAGTCTTCATTTTATTTATGACTTGATAGGATACTCAACAGAGAATCATTAATGTGCGTGAATTACAATATCAGAAATAAAATAATATTTTACGATTTTAAAAAAATAAATCAGAATTGGTGCTTTATAAATAAATTATACGTACCCATCTTCTATATGGGCTTGAACAGTGAGAATTAATATGAAATATAATAGATATATAATAGCAACTTGGTAATTTAAAAAATATATATGTATAATATAAAAAAACAAAAAGCGGGAAAATAACATTAATTGGAGGGTATAGATTCTGGTTACCCACCGCCCCCAAACAAATGATCCGAAATTGTGGAACAAATTGGAAGCTTTCTGTTTCGGGCGTGTGTTCATTTCACCAATTCACATTATTTTTAAATAATATTCTTATTTTTTATTGTGTTATGGGTTTTATAAAGAAAAAAAATATTATTGTAGAAAGTAAGTCGTTGTGGTTTTTTGATAGTCAAATTTGTGTAGAATGCGAATTGGGGGAGAGTTGTCTGATCTCTAAATTAAGTTGGACAAATTTGGATATGGATATAGAGTAGAATCTTCATAAATAAATCCTTGATAAATTAATAAATTTCACGTAAATTTAAGAAAAAACCCATCTGATAATTTAGTATTTTATTAAATTAATATATTTTTTTTTATCTTGACTGTATTAATTATAGAGGTTCAATATCAAAATTAAAACAATAAAAAATGAAATCCTATGGTTATGTTACATATGATATATGTTACGTACTAATTGCACCTGTATCCAGTGGCGGATCTAGGACGAAAATTCAGGGTTTGCCGGCTGTGTCGAGTCCAAGAATTTATTGTACAGTGAGGTTAAATTTTCGGGGGTTCGGGGGCAGCGCCCCGGAAAAAAAATTTGAACCTTTTTTTGTTGGATAAATTAGGAGAAGGGAAAAAAAATTGAAACTTTTTTTTTTTTTTGGATAAATTAGGAGAAGAAAAAATTTAGGACTTTTTTTGTATGTTTTGAATTTTGGGTGGAATAAATAATAATATAGATATAATATAATGTGTTTTTGGGGAGAGGGGCTAAAAAAAACAAGAAAAAATTTAGGATTTTTTTTGTATATTTGGAATTTAGGGTGGACTAAATAATAATATAGATATAATATAATGTGTTTTTGGGGAGAGGGGCTAAAAAAAAAAAAAAAACAAGTTAGGATTTTTTTTGCATATTTTGAATTTTGGGTGGACTAAATAGTAATATAGATATAATATAATGTGTTTATGGGAGAGGGGCTCAAAAGAAATATAGACAAAAAAATTAAACAATATTTTCTTGTACCATATTGGAGTCGTACTCATGACCTCGTCTAACAACTTGGAAATCTTTGCCACTAAGGCAAATTTATTTTCATTATTTGGGGTGGTCCATGGCATACTTGGCCACCCCCTAGATCCGCCCCTGCCTGTATCTGTACTGTCTTCAACTTATTTGTTGAATTGGAATAGTCCTTTGCATATTAGAAAATAGACATCGGTGGAAATATTAGCTGTCAAA